TTTTCCTTTAATAAAATAGAAACAATATCAAACAATTATCTATAATTAATTGATCAAGTATTATATTTTATTCAATTAAAGAGAAATGAAATTTAAATAGATTTTATGTAATTATTTAAATATGAATTACCTTTGATCTTCAATATGTAATTCCATGCAAGTAACATTACTACCATTTGCTTGCCTTTCTTGTGGAGTTCCAACACCAACCAAAACTCCAATAACATCTAAATTTGTAATAAAAGCATTTTAAATAAAAATAAATCACATATTCATTTAATAAAATAATATTAAAATTAAAAAAAAAAACACCACAAAGGCATTTGTTCCTTTTCTCGAGAAGCTTCTCATAATCTGTGAGTTCAAATACAAATCTCGGAATCTCTGCAACTTCTTCGATTATTTCTTTGACAATAGTATCAAGGTGAAATTGAATCTTGTAGTTGTTATGAGAGACAACACGATAAGTGTCCAAGCAACTATAACCCTAAACACGAAGAATAGAAGGAAAACTAGATGATGGCCAAATGCCAATCATGAAAACATTTGAAAGGATCAGATTTTTCGTCTTTGGTAAATACGGTTTAGTTGTGGTATTGGTAAATTATTTCAATTATTTTTTATTAATAAATTTATTGCTTATCTTGCAGCCATGAATTCTGAAAAAATAACTGTCAAGAAGATGGAACAACGTCCCTTTAGGCAGGTCAAAAGGTATATATAAATTTATTGCTTATCATAACAATCATTTTATTGCTTATCCTGCAGCCATAAATTTTGAAGAAATAACTGTTCATAAAGAAATAATTGTTCAAGAAAATGTAAGAACGTCCCTTTAAGCAGGTCAAAAGGTGAATATAAAATGTTTACCCTATTTAATGCATAGGGTAGCATTTTATATATATATATATAGATAGATATATAATCTATATATATAATGCTATCTTATGCATTAAATAGGGTATGCATTTATATATAATAATAATAATTTATAATGTAATAATATATATTTATTATTTATTATATAATTATTATATATAATTATTTTACTTTATCCTTTTCTTTTCTTTCATTATTAATTTCCATTATATACATATTAAATCAAACAAGAGAAGAGAAAGAGATACGCCTTTTTTTTTTCCCTTTCATGTAAAAACCAAATTAAGTTTTAACACATATAAAACTTTTCATATTCAATTATTATTTATTAAAATATTATTTATATTTATCATATTTAAGGTTTAGTATCAAATTTAAATAAAGTATTTGTAACTACTAAAACTCTTAATCTTCCTTTTCTAAGCCTATAAGAGACTATAAAACTAAAATCTCCAAACCCCAGAAGTAGTGTCTTTGTTGATGGTATTTTCTAATTTACGAAGGCTCTCACTAACATTATTCATCTAAATCAAGTTAATAAACTAATATTTAGTTTAGATACATATGTCTCACTTTTAAGTATAGTTTCATTTAGTTTTAATATATACTTGAGAAGCCTAATCAATATCTATTTTTTTTCACAAATTTTAGATTGATTTTTTATTATATTCTTTAACTTTGAAGATTTTAAAAGAGAGAAAACCACCAAAATTAATGAGGCATGAATATCATGCAATGCTATTATAAAAAACTTAGGAGCAAGATTTGGAGCAAAACTTTGGATCTAGAAAGGCAACAAAATATAACAGTCCATAAACAACTCAAAAGCAAATGGAAAGTGCAAAAAAAGTTTTTATTTTGTTTTTAGACATATATATATTATCTGTGTGTTAAAATTTTCAATTTATAGTCCTTTTTAAATCTTTTATAAAAATAGTGATAATTAATATAGTTTTTTTTCAAAATATTAAGAGAATAAATCTATAAGAAAAAAGGAATTAATTAGACACTAATTTTTTCATTTTATTTTAATTATAAAAAATAGTTAAAAAAGAAAAAAAAATATATTATTTTTACATAAATATATAAGAAATGTGATTAATAATTTAGTTCAATTTTTTTCTTTTTTTTCAATTTTTTTTTTTTTCTTAATTATTTTATCGTTATTATTTTTAATTACATATAATGCATTACATTAAAGATAGAGGAATAGAAATTGATTTTTATTAAAATAGAAAGGTTAAATACCCTTTTTGGTCCCTCTACTATAGGAAAAAGCCCCTTTTAGTCCTTATACCGAAAAAATCTCCTTTTTGGCCCTTAAAATTCAAAATCCGGCCCCTTTTTGGTCCCTTCGTTAAATTTTGACTGATGTGGCAGGTTAATTAACGAAAAACCTTTTTTTTTCTTTACTTAAATTGTGTGGAAAATCCATCTGGCAAAATTTGATGACATGGCCAAATTTTTTACATAATTGCCATTACAAATATTTTAAAGGTTATTTTGTGGTTAAAGGTACTTAATTTTAATTACTTATTTGCCCTTGTCTTCTTCCTCATTCTATCTTATTCTCTCCTTCCTCCAACCTTCTTTTTTTTTTTTTTTTTTTCCTTTGCCTTATGGAAATCAGATTTGGAAAGGTGAACCCATGTGCCTGGATTCGCTGGGTTTGTCGCGATTCCAGGCATGGGGTTCATCGCGAACCCAGGCAACAAAAGATTGAGTATAGAAGGGATGGTGTTCATATTGAAAAGGTCGGGGTATAGCTCGAGGGCTTCAGCGAGGATCTTGAGCTTTCGGAGGTTGCCCTGGAGGTCTACCTCGGAGTCCGCAAAGTGCTCCAACTGGTTTTGGTACTTGACGCAAGCCTTGATGTTCTTTCTGAATCAACGCTTGAAGGAGAAGACTAGTTTTTTAAGGGTGCAGATGTCCAGCACATCGACGGTGCTCTGAGATTTCTTAATGGCTTGCAAGAGAGAAAGGTCATTGTCACCGTCGAATGTGATGGAGCTGTCCCGCTTGCGTTTCTTAGGGTTTGCGACTTCCATGGTGTTCAGAGCAGAGATTGAGCCTCAAGATCCAGCCTTCTACAAGGAATTTCAAAGATCGAAGGAACACCCTACGACATTGCATTCACCCACCACTCCTTTCCTTCTCAAGCATTGCTCCAGTTGTTTCCTCACTCCATTGCCTTTCATGTCTATTTGAAATTGGGGATGGGTTTGAAATGGTTTCAGAGTGATTTGGCCAGGTTTTTTATTCCACCCTACTTTCTTATTGTTGTTGCTCAACAAAAATCAAACTTCATTGGTAGAATGGAAATGGCAACCTGATGTGGTGAATTTGTGCTGCTTTGTCTATGCCTCGGCTATGCGAAAATGATCCAGATGTTGCCATGGAAATCAATGTGCCTTCTTCTCTTGTCAATTGGTTATCCATCTTTACCGAGTCTAATGATACCCTTCTTAATTGACAGATCTGGGTATGTTTGTGGCTACCATAAGCACACAGAGAAGAGAATAGGAGAAGTGCTAAATCAATTGAAAGTAGAGATGAGTGATTAGAACCCAACCAAAACTTTAAATCAAGGGGGACAATTCCATTTTATAACTCTAAATACTCATATTAATAATAAATGGATGGCTAGAGCAAGGTGTGATGAACCCAGCGCTTGGATTTGCGACGAACCTAGCATGAAGACTCTTGGTTTCGTCTTTCCAGATTTGATTTGGCAAAGGTAAACAAAAAAAATGAAGGTTGGAGGAAGGAGAGAATAAGATAGAATGAGGAAGAAGACAGGGGCAAATAAGTAATTAAAATTAAGTACCTTCAATCACAAAATAACCTTTAAAATATTTGTAATGGCAATTATGTAAAAAATTTGACCATGTCATCAAATTTTGCCAGATGGATTTTCCACACAATTTAAGTAAAGAAAAAAAAAAGGTTTTCCGTTAATTAACCTGCCATATCAGCCAAAATTTAACGAAGGGACCAAAAAGGGGCCGGATTTCTAACTTTAAGGACCAAAAAAGGGATTTTTTTAGTATAAGGACTAAAAAAGGGCTTTTTCCTATAGTAGAGGGACCAAAAAAGGTATTTAACCAAATAGAAACAAATTATAAGATTTAATACACAATAATTATTATCATTACACTACTAATGATCTTAAATGACCCAAATTTATTTTTGCCATTTCAAAGTTATGTAACTTTTCTTTATTATAGTTAATAATGAAAGATTAAGATTAAGAGGGCAAAATGTTCAGTTCTTAGTTTCATATATAATGGAATATATATAAGTGGAAAGTGGGGAAACATGCGAAGCAGGCAGAGAGGAAGGTCAGCCCGACGGACGGCACAGAGCTGGGGGTATGGATCTCACCGATGGCAGGACTGAGGGCTTCAGGATCGACAACACCAGCTGGAGAGGTCAAGGATCAGTAGAGGGGGTTGGAGACAGAATTTTGGAGGTTATGACTTGAATCTTTTGAAACAAGCCACGCCGTTCTACTTCACAAATTTTCCTGATAACTGGAGGTATGAAGAGATGTGGAATACATTCCACAAGTTTGGTAGAGTGTATGCTATATACGCTCCAAATCGCAAAGATAGAACAGGGAAATAATTTGGCTTTGTTAGATTCCTTGAAGTCAAGGATGACAAAGAACTTGTGAGGAAACTTGATCAGATCTGGATCAGCAACACCAAACTCCAAGTCAATATCCCAAAATACAGCAAAAGGGACAATGACTTTCAGAGAGAGAAGGCGCAAAGCAAACAACCCACTCCGAACATGCAAAGAAGTTACGCTGATGTACTCAAAGGCACAAGGAGAGAAGTTCTACCTGCTAAACCACACAGGTCTACTTGGCAACAGAGAACGACAAAAAAGCAATGGACTGGACTAGAGTTCACTGTTAATAAGGAGGATTCTGCATGGCTAGATGGCTACTACGTGGGAACAACCAGGTCAGTTGAGTTAATCCCAACCATGCAAGAAAAACTCTATATGGAAGGGTACTTTGCTTGCACTGTCAAACCCATGGGAGGAAGGCTTATGTTGCTAAGTAGTGAGGATAAGGATGAGTTGAAAGATTGGTGGAGAATGCAGCAGATTGGCTTGGCTAGTGGTTTGACGAGATCAAACCATATTCTCCTTCATTAGTCGCAAGCGAGGGGATGGTATGGGTTAAATGCTTTGGAGTTCCTTTGAATGTTTGGGGGCCAAAATTCTTTGAAATCATCTTGAGCTTCTGGGGAAAATTTATATCACTAGATGATAGCACAAGTAGGAAACTCAGGTTTGATATTGTTAGAGTTTTAATCTCAACATCCTCAAAGGATTTTATCTCCAAATCCATTACGATTAAGGTCAGTGGACAATTCTTTAACATTGTGATCAAGGAAGAAGAAGCCTCTAATGGCTTATTTTCTATGAAATCAGATCATGTCATCTTCTCCAACAGCAACTCAGATGGTGATGATATGGTTTCTTGGTCAATTTGCAGTGACCCCTCAATAGATATCCCAAGCGACGGACAGATGGACCTCACCTTTGGAAACATGCCCAATTTTGAAAAAATGAAGCCGTTGAGACAAGGAACAAAATGGAGAATGACGAGCTCATTAATTGCAAAGATTTTGAAATCCCTATTGAAATTGGTGAGAGAGATGCAGTGGGCCCTCAACAGGTTGCTTTCGTTCAAAAAAATGAGGACGTGGAGGCAAGGAGAGCATTAGAAGATGTTGAGTCTACCAACTGTGTAGATTTCGAAAGTCTTCCTAATGCCGGCAATGATGTGAGAGTTGCAGTGGGGCCTTTTGAGATTGCCTTGGTTCAAGATTTATCAAAGAATGTTAGGAACAGATGTGAAGAGCAGATGACATTAGCAGAAAGTAGTGCACAGAGCAACGCAAAATCATGGCCCACCACATGTTCTGGAAGGAACTTGGAATGGGGCCTCAAGGGCGAGTCCTCTAAGCCCAATCCTAATATGGATAAGACAACACAAAGCCCTTCAAAAGGAAGGAATCTGGAGATTGAACCAGAGGAAAACGTAACCAGCATTCACCGAAAGCTTTTGTGTGAAAAGAATGCAGCAAACAATTTAGAGAGACGCTTCTGGGAAGATATAGATAGCGATTTTGGTGAAATCAAAGAATGGATGCGTCTGCATGACGGTAGGACCTTGAAAACTACTAGAAAAAGGAGGAAGAAAGCTCGATCATGTGCTGAGATCTACCAAAACTCCAGAGCTATGCAGATTTCAAAAGACAAAATGAAGAGGAGGGGACGACCAAGTAGTGGACATTCCATTCCAACTTTTCTCCCATGTGCTGAAATACATGTGGCTGGAGAATCTATTGATGACAGTGACATCAAAAACTGCAACAGAGGAATACAAGAAAAAAAATAGGAAAGAGATGGTGAGAGAATTTGGGATTTTGCCAAGAAGTTAGGGGCAACAACAAGTGGAAGGGAGGAGGAACTAATTTGAAGGATCAATGAACTAGAAGCCAGAGACAAGGAAGCGAGAGATAAAGCAACAGAGGCTACAACTGGAGGAGAAAGGGTAAGTCTCCCCAATTCAAAATGATTTTTCTTTCATGGAATATAAGAGGGTTGGGTGGTGGGGGTAAGCGAAGAGAAATAAGGGAACTCATAGTTAAAGAAAAAGTTGAATTTGTTGCTTTGCAAGAGACAAAATTAGAGTTGATTGACAAAAATACTTGTAGATCTCTATGGGGGTTTGATAATTTTGATTGGGTAGCTAAGGCTTCAATCGGTAGATTAGGAGGGCTTCTATGTATATGGAACTCTGATATTTTTTGCAAAGAAACAGTTCTTGAGGGGACGAATTTTCTAGGTGTTTATGGTTTTTGGGGTGAAAATGCAGTTCTAGTTTTCATCATCAATATCTACTCCCCTTGTGAGTTAGCGAGTAAAAGATTATTGTGGGAGGAGTTAAGTAATCTTGTCTCACCTTCTGCTAGTGGGAATTGGTGTATACTTGGTGATTTTAACACAATTAAAGGCCAACATGAAAGGAAGGGTTGCAAATCCTTATCTAGTGAGATGAGAGAATTTTGTGATTTCATCAATGAATTGAATCTGATTGACCTACCACTGATAGGGAGGAAATATACTTGGTACAAATCAAATGGAGAATCAATGAGCAGGCTTGATCGAGCTCTTTTTTCTGAAAATTGGCTGTCTAGTTGGCCTGATATGAAGCAATGGTGTCTTGCTAGATCATGTTCAGATCACTGCCCAATTCTATTGAAAAATCAATGTAAGGACTAGGGACCCAAGCCCTTCCGTTTCTACGATGCATGGTGGGAATCTAACGACCTTAAAGAGCTATTAACCCAAGCTTGGACCTCTGTGAAGGTTCAGGCATGGAAAGGTTATTGTATCAAGGAAAAATTAAAAGTCTCAAAGAAATCTTTGAAACAATGGAGTACCAAATTCAACTCAGAAACAGAGTCAAAAATTTCTTACTCCAAGCAGAGAATTGAAGATCTAGATCTAAGAGGGGAGTTACAACGGTTGACAGAAGAAGAAACTATGGAAAGGAAACAGGCTTTTACTGATTTGGGAAAATGCATGAGAATCAAGGAAGGAATCTAAAGGCAAAAATCTAGAAAGACATGGCTACGAGAAGGTGATAACAACACAAAGTTTTTTCATCGCTGTGTCTGAGGGAGAACCAGAAGAAACAAAATCAACTGCATTCAAGTGAAGGGTCAACAGTTGACTGAAGTGGATGAGGTAAAAGAAGGAGTAGCCAGCTACTTTGAAGACATGTTCAAAGATGAAGGATGGGAAAGGCTGACACTTGATGGCATCCATTTCAATAAAATCTCCCAAGTTGAATCATGCATGCTCTCTGTTAAATTTACTGAAGAGGAAATCTACAAAGCTGTTTGGGATTGTGATAGCTCCAAAACCCTAGGTCCGGATGGATTTAATTTCAAATTCTTCAAGGAGATGTGGGAGGTAATCAAGCAGGACATCATTGGGTTTGCTGATGAATTCTACACAAATGGGAAGCTAGTAAAAGGGTCTAATGCTTCATTTGTTGTCTTGATTCCAAAGACATCCAACACCCAGAAAATTGAAGATTTTAGGCCCATTTCTCTTATAGGCTCCATGTACAAAATCATTACAAAGTTACTAGCTAATAGGATAAGGCTGGTAATGGGTAGCGTGATTGGGGTTCAACAAACTGCCTTTGTCAAGGACAAACTATTGGTTGATGGGGTCCTGGTTGCCAATGAAGTGATTGATGAAGCCAAAAGAAGGAGGAAAAGTAGTTTTGTACTCAAACTTGACTTTGAAAAAGCGTTTGACAAGGTCAGTTGGAGCTACCTCAACTACATGCTTAAAAGAATGGGGTTTGGTGACAAGTAGGCAAATTGGATCATGGAATGTCTATCCACCAGTATAGTCTCCTTTCTTATTAATGGTTCTACCACGCGACAAATTTCAGTTAGCAAAGGTCTTCGCCAAGGCGATCCCTTATCTCCATTTCTATTCCTCATAGTAGTTGAAGGGTTGAATGGGCTCATCAGCACAGCTGTTAGCTGAGAATTGCTAAAGGGAATCGAAGTCGCGACACAAGGATTCAGGGTCACTCACCTACAATTTGTAGATGACACATTGATCTACGGGAAGGCTGCCGAAGATAACCTTTAGGCAGTAAAGTGCATTTTAAGGACCTTCGAAATTGTCTCCGGATTGAAGATCAACTACAGAAAAAGCCAGCTTATGGGGATTCATATAGACACTAATTGGCTAAAGAAGATGGGATTCTTTCTTAATTGCCAACGGGGATCTATGCCTTTAAAATACCTAGGAATAAAGGTGGGAGGTAATCCAAGACGACTGGGCTTTTGGAAAGATTTGATCGAAAACTTCAAAAAGAAACTCAGTGCCTGGAAAAATTGATTCTTGTCCGTTGGTGGGAAAATTACCCTTCTCAACTCTGTGCTATCCAGTCTTCCAGTCTTCCGGTCTTCCTCATGTCGTTCTATCTGCTTCCTAAAGGTATTACTCATACTCTTGATAAACTTATACGTAATTTCTTATGGGGGGGAGGAAGATAAGAGAGTCATTAACTGGGTGAAATCGGAAAGAGTCTGCAAAAGCAAAC